GGGGGGGGGGGGGGACCCTACACTAGAACACACTGCCCCAAACCAACAACCTAATAATAGGAACCGATTCTTTTCTCCATTATGCAAAAACAGTTTTCACAATACACAGTTAAACTGAAAACAGCATACCAGTATTTTCTTTGTAAAGCTCTCTTTACATTACCAAGATATATCAAACACATTATAGTGTCTTATTTAAATGTACTCACCAAAATTGAATTTTTCTGGTCAACTATCCAAGCTGGCAGGGCAATTCCAAAGCTTGTGGCTAAAATAGGAAGAATATTTTTGAAGAGTCTCCATTTCCAGTTTTATTTCTTTATATCCCCAAATTCTGCCTCCCCCACCCCCTCCAAAAAAGCTTTAAGATTATCTTATTATGTGTTTCCATTACACAAAAGTTGATGGACATGGTTTATATTTGAAACTTTAAATTTTTCCAGAAGAAAAAAAAATTCTAAGTATGTGAATTCCTTCTTCCCAGAACACTTAAATTCTTTTATATGTCCTGAGTTTATGTAAACACTATGAATATATGAGAAAATGTTTAGTCAGTAAAGAAAAACAGATTTTTTTTCATCCAATTTTTATCAACTACTAACTGGAAATGAAGAATAATGACAGTGACTACTTTCCTCATCAAATCAATCAAAGTTCTATCTTTCAAACCAATCTCTAGAAAGAAGAATAAAGTAAAAATTAAAGGGAACTCAATTTACATATTTGTTTAACTCCTTGTGGTTGTAATTTTCCTATTCACAAACTAAGAAAATCAAAACATTCTTTTCAATCTAGTTAACATTTTTATAATATACACATATCATAACCCCAGTATTTTTTAATCATCATTTACCATACCTTGAGGCCCATCTGGATTTCCAAACTCTTCCCAATTTTTCCGGGACTCTTCATCAGTTAAACTAGCATAAAAGGAACAAAGGTGCAAAATTAGAAAGCCACATCTGAAAAATAAGTACTCATACACACAAACTCCATTAACTAACCAACTCACTTCTTAAAGATAATTTCAGAGAATCAAGAAAAGAACTCTCTGAAATCAGAAAAAAAAGGGGGAGAGGAACATAAGAAATTGAGCATTAACAGAAAATGCTAACTATTGAGCCCAGATACAAATTCCTAGTTGGCCCATGGGTTCTCAGGTTTAGCCAGTTCAAGCCAGAAGATGCAACTTTAAAGGCTACTACATTTTCTAAGGAGGCAGGGAGGATTATAGGTTACTTTTAAAAATCTTGTACACTCAGATATTTCCCAAAATTTCTTCAATGTTCATGTTTTTGCTTTAATAATGATATGTATCTATTTTTTAAATATAAACTTAATACATGATTAATAATAAGCCCTCCACAATTGGCACCGCATTCTTGAAGAAAAAAATAATAACACCTATAAAATTCCACTGCTTTGGAGAAGGTCATTTGCATTGTGCTAAGATCACAATTTTCTCCTAAGCCAACTTCCAGCAAGACTAAGAAAATACCTGCTAAAGCAACAGCTTCTTAACCCAAGCAATATGAAAGTGACAGTGATTTTTTAAACACCTAACATGAATATAACCCCTGACCTGGGCAATGGCTCAAGGCACAGGGTGAGAGTAGTTTTATTCCAGGTCCCAGTATAGATGTTAAAAAAAAAAAAAAAATTACAAGAAATTTTCAATTCCTTCAAAAACTTTACAATGCTGTTAAGGAGACAAGGCAGACACATACACACAGAATGACCAATAACATAATAAGGAAGGCATTCTTGCAGACCAATTGGCAAAAGATTATGTTTATGTCCAAATCTAATTTTAGCCATATTTCTGTTTCCCAGAACATATGCACTTAAGATACAATGAATTTTCTATTCAACAAAGCTCCAATTGAGAGAGAGAATGCAGAAGAACCTTCATAAAATTGCAAAATTTTTCAATGATTTGAAAATATTTTTAAACATCAATTTGGTCATTTATGAAAACAAGAACCTTGATGTCTTTAGTCCTTATTCAACTATAACTCCACTTACACTGTTTGACCTAAGGCCTCAGTAAAATACAGGAGCCAATGAAAGGCATTATTAGAGAGACTGCAAGTTAATAAGGAGTGGTGCTAAGATTCCTTTCTACTAAGGGAGGGATGTTTTTCAAAAACTTTTGCCTTTGTTTCCCTGTACAATTGTCCACCCCACCCAGAGCTTTAGCTATTGTTTCTTTCAATTTTCTGTCTCCTAATCAGAGTCTTTTCCCCAAAATAATTATCTCTGTCCCCTCCTGACTTTCTAATGATGGCAGCACCATAAACTGTTCTGTTCTCTATACAATGCCCTTAGGTTTTGCAAAATAAAGCACAGCTCTCATCAAAGAAGCACTTGATTTTTCAACCTGCATACACACCTGATTAAAATTCCATTAACTCATTCATTAAACCATTTGTACAACTGCTGTGTAACCATCCTGAATACTCAAAGAAATTATCCATTTTTTAAAAAGTCAGTGTAAGAAAGCAACTGATTTTGGGCTACTTATTAGTGCTTCAGTATCCATTCCTAAGACTTAAGGTACTTAAAAGCTATGTGATTTCAGTATAATTTATATATAACAAGCTTAAACAACACCAGTGGTGCTAACATAATTTTTTTTAATTCAATGAGTATAAAGCTTCCTAAACATGATTATACCCCTTGACTTTGGGGGTGGGAGGTTATATCATAGATCCTATTAGGAATCTAATGAAACCTATGCCACTCCTGCCCTGGAAAAAAATGCACATTTACAAACACACATAAATTCTGTATACAGTTTCAGGGACCTCAGTTTATAAATCCTAACCCAGAGAATGCTTTCACTAAATTATATGCGAGGGGCCGGAGTTGGCTATGTAGAGCTAAGTTACATATGCATATGTAAGAACACATGAAAACATACTTTTTAAAAATCAAAATATCTTTAAGGATGTAAATCATGCTGCCCACTTGTTACAAAGTAGTTTAAACATAGATTTTGCACCCAAAAGCAAAATCCCAACTATATCCAGAAGAATGAATCAGATATCAACAGTTGGTCTAACTCCTCAAAAATAACCATACCTCCTTTCCTTTAAGTTACAATCTGGTCTGAAGAAATAGGAATGACCCAGCTTGTTTATTATAATGAGTGAATAAGGGAAGAGAAACCAGCCTGAATAACCAAGGCAAATTCTGAAAAACTTTGTAGATCATGAAGTTTTTTATAACTGCATTCTACAAGTTGCCTGAATTACATAACTTAGGCTGGTAGAGTTATACATACATAAGACAGCAGCTTCAATCACTCAGAACCTATATTCAGTAAAATGCACCCTTTTAAACTAATCTAATTATACTTGTACAAGTTACAATAACTCAAAGTTCTGGGTCCCATAATCATTTTACTTCTTCATTTGTCTGACAGACCATCAACTATTTAAGGCATTTTACATACAAAACATTCTACATCTTGAACATGTAACTGAGTCAAAACCAAAGGCCATATATTCTTCTTCTGTACTTCTTAGAATAGTGACCATACATCATAGAGTCAGATTTCCAGTAACCTGAGAACAAAATCATGAACTTGAAAGTGTTACAATACCTGAAAACTCGGGGGGGGGGGGGG